TGCATCTTGATGCTTAGCCCAGTGCGTGGACAAACATCCTCTAAGGAAGTTGTCCCAACCAATGAGATTTTGAGTGTCAACAAGGTCCCTATACCTGCCGGGGTAATGCCATGGGTGGAGGAATCGATCTTCAAAGTGGTATTGTAGTCCATCCAGAACAATTTCCAGGAGGAAGGGGTCTGTGGAATCCTTGCGCAACTTTGTGCTGATCGCTCGTTGCATGGTCCCTCGCCACAAATCCACGTCAACATGGGGGCATCTTTAAACATGGGTTTCAGTCTCGTGATCACCGCCACAACGGGGACAGTGGTGATCATACTTGGGGTCATCCCGGTGGATCTGTTTCCCAACGGGCAACAATTGAAATAGAAACTTCACAATTGTCGGTTTGTGGATCTCGTGACGGTTGACAGCTCGACCATGGGCTGTCCAATCAACCAGTGCAGGGGTGTCCTCGTCCCAGTCAGGATTCAGTTTGACAATGTGGTTGAACAGGGGCTGGTCGTTCCTGAGATGCCGCAGTGTTCTGGGAAGCTTGTATGTGCATGTGCCTTTGGGAAGGTGCAGCTGGGCCAAGTTTGTCGGAAATCGGAGTACCTTGGAGTGGTCCTGTTTCATGTGTCTGTTCATGTAACTGCCTGCCAGTTTGTCAGCTCTGCAGTTCAATTGTGCTTTTAGGGGAAGTGTTTCGATGGCCTTGTGTTTGTCCTGGTGCGATTTGATGTGCTCCATCTTTGGCACAGTAACGGCAGCCCGAAACGAATCCTCGATCTGTTGCAGGACATCCCAGTCGGAGTTCAACGAATCATTGGGGTACCAGCCCTCGTACTCGAGACAGCCAGCGCACTTATTTGTAACAGATTCATTGTCGCATAAGTGTACATAATGCTTCATGCTGGTCTGATCGTAGAACTCCAGCAATCGTCGAAAAAGGCAAGTAGGGGATAGAATGCCATAGGCCTCCGCCCTGTAGGAAGTCGGAACCATACCAAAAACGAGACCAGAGCACCGAAGCACAATCTGACCGCGATTGTCTGCCAGAACCCAAGCAAAACTCGCCTTTCCTGCGTCAATGTCTGCAGCCCCATCACTCGCCACCCAGAAGGGCATGGCTGTGACAATCTGCAGGACTGAGTAGGCATCCACCATCCACTCAAGCTCGTCATAAAGAGCTGTTTCCCAAGGCTCCAAAGTGGCAAGGAAGCCCTCAAATGTTGTCGGTGTGGGTGGTAGTGGACGAGCAGGAATGCCTGCTGTGAAACCACTACCAACTACCACTGTCTCACGCTTGTTGAAGAGGGTCAGGTCTAGGACTCGCCGCTTTCCAGAGTCTGTTTGAACTGAGGTGCAGGATCGGGGGAAGTACTGATCCAGTGGCACAGAGTTGTGTAGGATGCTGGCGTCCAGGTAGGTCTCATCTCCGAACTCCCAGCGATGAACTGTCCGTTCCTTGTTCGGGACTGGATGTTGGAACATCCAGAATTCGGACTCTTCGTTGTCAACTTGGCACTGGTTGATTGGACAGCCCATGGTTGAGCTGTCAACCGTCACGAGATCCACAAACCGACAATTGTGCAGTTTCTATTTCAATTGTTGCCCGTTGGGAAACAGATCCACCGGGATGACCCCAAGTATGATCACCACTGTCCCCGTTGCGGCGGTGATCATGAGACTGAGACACATATTTACAGATGCCCTCATGTTGACGTGGATTTGTGGCGAGGGACCATGCAACGAGCGATCAGTACAAAGTTGCGCAAGGACTCCACAGACCCCTTCCTCCTGGAAATTGTTCTTGATGGGCTTCAATATCACTTCGAAGATCGATTCCTCCACCCGTAGCATTATCCGGAAAGGTATAGGGATCTTGTTGACACCCAAAATCTCATTGGTTGGGATAATTTCCTACGAGGACGATTGTCCCCACACTGGACCAAGCACCAAGATGCCTATTTGCATAGGGTCTGCTCCAAGGAGACCACCAAAACCGGGCAGCTCTGGGTCACCAATCTGGCTTCTGTTCTGATCCAGCAGTGGTGGAATCTCTGGGAGGACCGGAATGCCGCCAGGCACGGCCGGGTTCAGGAACAGAAATGGCGCAAGAAACACGAACAGCTCCAACGAGAGGTTGAGCTCCTGTATGAAAAAACGGACCTGCTCCCAGAGCATCTTCTTGATACCATCTTCAAACGACCCCTGGAGGAACAGATGGCCAAAGGGCCGGGAGATATCAAAGCATGGCTGGCCAATTGGCTTCCAGTTGTTGACAAAGCAATGAGGGATGAGCATGCAAGTGAGCAGCCTTCCCAATCAGGGTAACTATGCGCCGATGTGGGATTCCCATAGCAATAGCGGGCGATTTAGCCTAGAGTAGATAGTTAGTCGTACAGCACCCTCCGGAGTTTTGTTCAATTTCTCCGGTGGGGGGCTTACACTAGGCCCATTCTAAGTGGGCGCCCTCGTGCGCCTGAGGTATATGGGTTCGTCACGGAGCCGTTCAGCGGATCGTCTGACGAGGTGTAGCCTTTAAAATAAAATTTCTTTATATGAGCACTGCCATATCTGCGGTGGTCTAGCTGCATGGGTAGATACACCAAATGATTCCGCAAGATAAGGTAATTACACCAGGTGTTCTCCCCATGTCTTAAGATACTTAAGGTAATTACACCAGGTGTTCTCCCCATGTCTTAAGATACTTAAGCTACCGGTCACCAAGAACCTGGTTTATCTAATTACAGATCCTGTCGCTTTGTCTAATTACAGATGACTTTACAGTTACACAGATCCTTTTCTGTTGTGTAACTAGGAAGTTAGATGCCATGCCCTCGCATTATCCTCACTAAATCAAGACCACAACAATCATAATTTGTCGAGTCTAGACAAACCCTAGACAAACCCAACATCGATATCGGCCAAAATCAGCGGCTCCATCCAAGGTGGACGGAAATAATCAACAACAGACTCCAGGCAGCGGGGTGCAGGACTGTGGGTTCGCGGGAAGGGACATAGATTCCCTTCCAACAAGGACCTCGACTCTGTCGCTTCGGTTAGTGTGCAGGACTGTGGGTTCGCGGGAAGGGACATAGATTCCCTTCCAACAAGGACCTCGACTCTGTCGCTTTGCTTGGTGCGTGCCCAAAGATGGATCACCCCCTGGTACTAATCAAGAACACAGAGAAGCTACAAGACATAGGAACACACTGCCAATGGAACAAGTACAGATCCAGAACCGATGGCGACTCGACACTTACAGAAGACACTGCCCCCTCTTCAGTCCCCAATGTGGAATCGCGCTTAGAGGGCCTGTACATAAGCATCCATCGAGACAGCAAAACAGCAGTTACCGAGGACGCCACCACTGTCACAGATGTTGTCGTTTATCAAGCAAGAGTAGTCAGCGATCCATCAAGAGACAAAGTTCCTCCACCACCCCTTCGAGAGCTCATTGCAAAGAATCTTGGCAGTCTTGCCGAATATCAAAAGTCTCATCCAACTCTAAATCTTTCATTTCTTGAGAGAGAGTTGAGTGCTCTCCGAAATAAGCTTGGAGATTCCCAGACAGAGAAGGAGTCCGCAGAAATATGACGCTTGATCAGCGACAAGTGGTGGTGTATCAATAACATTGAGCGGCTTGTACTTGTTGAGCAAGCACTCCAGCATCCTGAGCTTGTACAGGAATTGCGCAGAGTCAAGGGTGACGGTTGGCACGGAAGGATATGGTGTGCCAACTCGACAATACTCGAAACAGATCTACAGGACAAGTACGTGAGATCAATTCTCACCCACACTGCCTATTTGGACGAAAGGTACCGAGTCGGTGGGTGGGCTTTGGTGCAGAAGTATGATCTGAAGAAGAAACTCAATACAACACAATTCAACTCAATCGAGTTCATAGACGGACAAATCACAGTAATGGACTGCAGTGGCGCTGGTACGACGGTGTCAATGAACTGGGCGAAACAACACATACTGAGAGATACACTTGATAATGCCAAGAAAACAGGAGTACGATGCCACTTGCCTGTGGGATCGAGGGGTCGCATTATTTATTGGCGTCCCCAGACAAATTCAAGTCCTCCTGTTCGCTACCAGAATCAAACCAACAACAATGGGATGTGTCTCGTAAGCTCCTTCACGAGCGCCCTTTGCCATATTGGGTTTTCTGAGGAGGCAGAGGAAATACTCTCACTTTACTACAAGACTCCGTGCCTCGGTCAGAGGCAGCGACAGATGAAGGTCTTTCTGGACGCCGTGATGAAGACTTTCAAAGCCAAAGAAGAGAGCTACGGCATAGTGCGGATGAGACACAAACACAGAGAGAGGTTCAACCAACTAAGGCGCGATAATCCACTGGAGCTGCCAGTTGTTGCTGTCATCAAAGACCACCACATTGGGAAGAACAGCAAGATGAGCACAGTAGGAGTGAACCATGGCGTCAGCTTCGTAGGCAGCTACATATTCGATTCCAATCTACCCTTCGCACTTGACATTACAAGGGAGTCCCTAGATCGAGTGTGCAGCAATGTCGTGGAGGGGAGCAAGTACAAGGGGATATACTGGGACGGGGCACTTTCTCTAGGTGGGGCCAAGAAGTAGATGACGAGAGCTTGTGTTTCCTTACATTGATTCCAATCCACCAAGTTGAACTCCAGAACATATGAAGACAGCCACGAATCTACACTTACAGAAGACACTGAAAACTGAACTATAGGACGTTTTATCTACCTACCAAATGGTCAAGTGTGGATTTTCAGTGCTTGTGTCATGGAATATACTTGATGAGCTAAAACGCAGAAGTATCCTGGCAAAACGCCTTGGGCAGGTGGTCTACGTGGTTCGCATCCATGCAACCCCAAAGACATCCCGCGTTAACGAAAGAAGCACCACCACGTCTGACTTCACATAATTCCAAGTCACCCTCGATCTTGTCAGTAACATCCTTCATCTAACGGATGTATGTACCAATTGTTTTTATCTTCGCAATCACATCATTGGAGATTTTAACGTTCCAACCAGTGACAATACCACCTCTCACCTTGGATGTCTTCATCGGGTAGCTTCGAGTACTTGATCCCATAGTATCCTTGAGTATTGTGCCTCATATGGATAGATGTTTCAGATATCCAGTCAACCAGAGGTTTCAACACCATAGATTTGCACTCCTCTTTGGGCATGATGTCATAAAAGTCGACACCCCAAAAGTCTCCCACATCATGTTCAACCTTGCGGTAGAGAGAACAGAACTGGATCAATCGAGGATGCATCACACCACACAGATTATGGATCTTCAGATTATTTTTATCCAGCAGGTCTTCTTGGTCCACGCCAGAATTCCAACCCAAGAATGGAACCTCACGACGCACAATATAGGGTCCTTGCCGATCAATCACCTCTTCCCGTACCTGCACAAGGTCTTCATCATTTATCAAGTGACCATCCCTTTGATTGGCGCCTTCCTCTAGCGGGTTGTTCATTTTCCAGCTATCAGCGAACAAGGATCCCCCCTGTACTATGCAATTTTGTGAGCCAGAGTGACATCCGCCACACAACCGCAAAATGGGAAACGTAGGTCAACCTGGGCGTGGAACATCCAGTTTGAAAACGATGGTTGCCAAAGGAAGTTTCTTGTTCAACACACTGGGCATCACGGTGGACTCCAAAACAATCAAAGGCGCAAAAAAAGAAACACGACTCATTCTATCATTGGTCGAAAAGTGTCAGTTTCAAGTCTTATGTTTCAAACTACATTTCTTTGCTAAATACGAAGACGGTTGTGTCAGACCAGCGTGTGCCCTGGGGGTGCGCTTGTTTGGATCCTGGGCAAGAGAATACCAGAGGTGACTTCCACCTGAGGAAATGGAAGTACTCTTTCAAGGGATGAAACAAGGACAGAGTCTCCCATCGCAGTACCCCATCTCAGATACAGGTCACCAAAGCATCTCTCCTCTGAATCCGGCATGATTTCCTTGATTTGGTGCACAGCAAGCTCGTCAGAGGCACCTGTCTTGTTCACAGCCACAAAAACAAGAGTCTGTTTCGTAGACCCTACCATCCTATTCACTATCAAAACCGAAAGCACATTGCGCTGTGTCAGAATCACCTCGAACACACCAAGTGCCTCGTACCTAACGCTGCGCCTCTTTATATTGAACAGGCTCCGCCAGTCGAATACAAGAGACTTGGGGGGTCTCGGAGCAAGAGCCGTCATCCCAGCGGGGATTGTGTGGCTTGCATAGGAGTGTCGGTAGGAAGAATCTTCCATGCAATGTTGCATTGCATTTTCTGCAAAGTTTTTGCGAAGGCCGAACCTCAAATATGGTTTGATAAGCCTGAGGAAGCTTCTCCATGGACACCGCCCTCCCACAGAAGCCTCAATGGACCAAATTCTTCCAGCATTGCAGGCAGATTCATGAGGGACAGCAAATTGGGGCAACTCAGGATTGCTTTCTCTTTGTTGTCAGCCTTGATCTGGTTGTCCAACAGATTGTACTCGGTGAGGAAAATCTTTACACAGAGAGAGGCCTCTTTCGATGTCACCCCCGGAACAACTTCCAATACCATCACCGAGTTCAACATGTTCTCCAGCACAATGAGAGTTCTCTCCACCTGGGAAGGTTCGTATTGAGCACGACTTATCTCATCTGGCGGGCCACCCGGTCGTTCGATCAGAGCCTTCGCCCGTTCTTTGAGGTCAGGTACAACTTCGCCCTTCTTCACAGTCTGTCCTCGGCTCTTGAGCCAGTAAACATAGTGGCACCTCCTCCAGTTCTTGTCTTGTTTGGTAACACAGATGGGACATCCATTCCCTTGTCATTTGAGGCCTTCACCAGAAACCTGATTTCCTGGAAGAACCACTTCATTATTCGAGAGAAGGCCAGGTAGTTCTCGCTGACCCAGCCACCAAACTTCCCCTCCCTGAAGTCCTGCAAGGGGAGCCACTCCAGATTCAGGTCTCTCAGTTTCTCGTTGTAACCATCAGCCCTCTTCACGAAATCAGAGTACAGTCCCTGCTGCTTCATCCACTCAATGATAGACTTGAGGACTGTCTTGACAATCCCGAGAAACAACAAGTGCATTGGCGAATCAACAAACATCGATATTGAGTCCCCATGTGTCCAGTGAGAGTTGGGTTCCGGCATCTTGTATTTGTCTGGGTTCTTCAAGTAATCCTGTCGAACCACTTCCCTCTGAATAGGATCAAGAATGCCTTCAAGATCACTGAGGGTGACTGCCCTGGTGCCATTCGCAATTAGTTTTTTGATAGCATGCCCTTTGATGCGTTCAGTCCTGAGGAATTCAGCCGTGACAGTATCAGACCACTCACAGCTGACAAACTTCTGGTAAGCGAGTTGGAAAGAGGATAGCAACCTATCATATGACAGCTCTACAGGTTCAATTTTCCCATCAGAAGACAGATACTGGATCCCGGCTGGGTTTGCTGATTCCGGCCGTCTGACCGTCAACCGTCAACCGGAATCTAGCCTCCACTCATCTACAGATATCCAGAGACAACAAAGTAGCTTTTCGTCATAATCTTATAACATCATTCGTAATACATCTCTCGCTACCTTTAGTCTCTTCAACAGATGTTATAAGATCCTTCTATACAACCAATAACAATACCACCACCGATCCGCTACACCGATCGACGCACCTCTATCCTCGAAACGAACCTCTATCCTCGAAACGAACCTCTATATCCTCGAAACGAACCTCTATCCTCGAAACGAACCTCTATCCTCGAACGAACCTCTATCCTCGAACGAACCTCTATCCTCGAACGAACCTCTATCCTCGAACCTCTATCGCTCGACGAACGGAACACCGCACCTCTATCCTCGAACGAATGCACCTCTATCGACGAATGCACCTCTATCGACGAACGCACCTCTATCGACGAACGAACCTCTATCTTCGAAACGAACCTCTATCCTCGAACGAACCTCTATCCTCGAACGGAACGACACTGATACCGAACTGATACCGCTACCAGCTGATACCGCTACTAGCCAACAAACACCAACACCAACCTACAATACCACTACCAACACATACACCACCTAGACACACAGGCCTTAAATGTCCGACAAAGGGAACTAAATATACCCGTGTCGCCCAACTTCAAATCCAATTCTACCCTCTCCTACAATGACCACCACTACACCAACTGAGGCAATGCCACACCCCATCCTCACACCAATCATCGGCAAACCTGACCAGAGGAAGCTATCCCTCCTCAATAAGTACTATCTGCTACCTCCTACTGCTTCTGCCCGGCCTCAACAGGATTGGTATCAACTGCTGCGGTATCAAAGGGGCTACAAGCTAATCAGGATGGGTCTCAATCTTTCGTACTATTTTCTTAACTATGGTAGAAAGGACGATCCTTTCTTGCTGCTTTGCTGGAGATAAGCCAACTGTGCATGCTGGAGCTGTAGGCCAGCATAGCTGTTGGAGCTATCTCTGACGGGATCCATAGCTCTTGCTCCTAAAAGTTATCGCTCCCCACGAGTGCGTATGGATCCGCTCTCATGGGAATGCCACGATATACGACTAGTTACTAACTAACTATCTACAAACTCTCCCCATGAATGGAACATCCATGGGCCACTCAGCATCGACTGCTAGTGGAACACAATGTGAGATTGGAGATCTCACAAGTGGAGGGACTTGCATGGTTGGTCGGTTGCTGGACCAAAGGTAGGCGCAGAGGGATTGCGTGCTCATCAGCATGGCCAGACTCGGTAGGTGTCGGCGGTGCTGGTTGCTATCATAGCTGTTGTTTGTTTTCTTCATATGTAGACAAATATTCATGGCTTTGCCACAGGCCGAATTCAGCGGTGGCAAGCTCTCAGTGGAGCGGCCTTCTTGCCCCGCGGATATGTTCCTTGACTATAGGCTTTGGGCTCGATCGATCAGGAACGTGAATCGATCGCCCTAGGGAAATGCTCTTGGTTGAAGAGCTGACTGAGTGGGAGCCACACTTGGTCTATTTGGTTGTGTAACTGCAGCTGCAATGTTGTTGATGTTGCCAGCTCTGGAAGCTGGTTGCTTGCTGGCTGGAGGTTTTGCCATCACGATCTCCCCAGAGGTTGGATGACTACTAGGGCTGGCAAGCTCGATAATCTCCCCATCATCCAACGATGGATGGGCACCAGCGAGGGCATTCAAGGGTGTGGCACTGGGCAGCTGGTGGCTCGTAGCTGGGACACGCATGGGTCGTGTGACAGGCAACTCTCCACAAGCTAGCTTGGGAGATGGAGCCGTGGCTACATTGGTGGGCAGCTGGTTGGTAGCCAAGAGGGCATTGGTCAATCGTTGCTGGATGGCAATGGCATCCAGTCCTTGCTGGATGGCAGTGGCATCTTGCTTGGAACGAGTAGCCCTGTGGCGCTGCTGCTTCTTTGGGCTGTGGAGCCGTTGGGGACCAATAGCACTGTCACCAGTCGGCTTGTGGACGCCATCATCACTGCCCATGGCTGACAGTGGAGTGGCATTGGTCTCCCCATGAACTGGTGGTGTCAAAGCAGGTGTAGGTGCTGTGACAGGTGGCCTAGCAGCTACCACGACCAAGGCTTCCAGTTGAGTTGTCAGTTGGTCCTTCAAGGCGATGAACTGAGCTTCCATCTTTCGTTTGAAGGTTTCGTGGTCAGCTCTCATGTCTTGCTTGAATGATTCATGATCAGCTCTCAGGTTTTGTCTGAGGGACTCGTGGTCAGCTCTCATGAGGTCGAGTTGCCGGGCAACGGTGACCTGTTGCTGTTGAAAGCGGACCAGCACGTCTTCCATGGCTAGCGTATAAATGAGATCTGGGTGACAACTGGAGCTGTCGGGCGACAGCTCTGAAATCTCCCCATCGCCCAGCTGGTGATTGGTCCTACCATAGGCCATGGGTGCCGGCCTCTTCTCAGGAATGTCGAAGGGTGATTTGTATGCGTCTGGTGGGAACACTGTTGACACAGGTGATACTGGTGTCTTCTCAAGAATGTCAAAGACGGATTTGTATTCATCTGGTGGTGGCACTGGTGGCTGTGTGTCCTGATGCCGATGGCGGTAGGCTAGGTTGCTGTTGCCAGCTCCATCGTGGTGTGTGGGGCGGGCACAGGTGTAGCTGTTGGAGGAAACATACCTGACACCTCTTTACTATTGACTCGTGTATTAATCATCTAGTCCGGTTCGCATGTAAATTGATCATGCAAGGAACCAAGGGAGTTTTAGGTCTAAAGTGTTGCGGGGGTCCTTATATCCAATTCAATCACAAGAATTGCTATGCACCACCAGAAAATCCTCACTTTTGCTTTACAGTGTTAGCTAGTAAAACTGCAGCTTATTGGGGAATGTAAAGCAAAAGCCCATCTCGAGTTACTACTACCGATCTCGAGATCGATATCAAGGTAAACCAAGTCAAAGACATCAAGTTCAATTGACTTGAAGTGAGTTAGCACCTGCAACAGAGAAGAGGTGCACAGAATCA